GGCAGGGGGGAGGGTGGCAGTATTGAATGCCACTGCTCCCCCACCGCCAAATTTCCCGACCTGTGGGGAGCCCAGCAGGCTGGATTCCAAGGCTCTGTGCCACATCTGGCCCACAGGCTGGAGGTTGAGCACTCCTGATTTACATAGATAACAGTAATTTTCAGACCTAAATCAACTAATGATCAATCTAGCAAAATACTATACATCCCAATCTTGTTATGTACTACCAAGCAGTCGATCACTCTGAACAACCCTGTTGCTGTTTGCTTGTTTTGGGTATATTAAGTTTTCCATTGTTAAGCCTCAAGTATCATATATGTTTTTGCTAAGAGAGATATTCATACCTTTTGCAGAATAAAACCTAGAATTCCTGCTCACTGTACTTGAAATATCAGTTGCTCTCATTTGCTTTTCATTTTTTTCATTCCCTCTTCCTTTTTAATATCTCCATATCCACTTCAGGGACAGGTAGCTTAATTTCTATCATATGCAGCTTTACAGGGTATTAGCTTTGCTACACATGCCAACAAATGAGCTAGACTAGATGTGCCTGAAAAAGCCTACAGCTTACAATATTCATTCAGGAAACTTTGAATGAAGTAAATCCATATGTGTCTTAATGTTAGTGTTCAGGTCAGGGTTGTGTTTTCTGGCTGACAACATTATTATGCATAATCCACGTTTTTTAAAGAGCGGCAGTAATGTTTCGAATATGGATACTAAAGCCTTTCATATGGTTGTTGTTTAAACTTGAAATTTTGGCCCTTAAAGAAAAAAATAATTAAAACTCCATTTTGCTTTATATTACATGGCTTGTATATTTATTCTATTGAGCTACAAAATGCTGTAGATTAGTTTTCAAAATTTCCAAACAATGACACGAAGTTTCCTGCAGAACCCAAAACTACAGAATTAATAGAAATTATAATAATAATAAAGTTAGAAAAATCCTATATTGCAAATGCTAAGTAGGACTTAACTCATTCTGTAGAAATATCTAACAGAGATACAATTTTATAATACATTCTACAGGATGGCCCAAAATATCAGTAGAAAAGGCTTTGTTTTCTATTAAATTCTGCTGAACTTTTCTATAAATAGGATTCCAAAACTGTCACATCCTTAATGAGATTATTTTGTTCTTGTTATACATAATTACAAGGATTATTGTTATTATTACCATTATGGGCTGTCTATGGTCTGGAGGGAGAGGGAAGTAATGGTGGAATAAACAAAGGGTCAAATCCTGCTCTCTCAATTTATCTGAGTAATCCTGTGGGTTTGCCTTATATGGATAAGGCAAGCAAGGATTGGTCCTATAGATATATGACCAGACCTTTTATAGGTTGCTGTTGTTGTCTTAAAGAAACACCAAGAATTATGTAAGTTTAATTTATTTACTTGGTTTAAAATGTCTCAGTTGATTGGATTTGAGATATTTTCATAGAAACAGTTTTGCATATTGTGTATTTACTTGTAGAATTGAAACAGCTGTAGACATGGATCTTCAACTGTGAGATTTATTTTCCCTCCAATGCCAATTTGATATTTTGGGCTATGTAAAGCAGGCTCATAAATAATAGTAGTAAATTACCTTCTGGTAAGCTGATGTGAGCGTAAAAGTAGATGGCACTTATATACCAAAAAATCATAAGGAAAATAAATCTCAGGTGCCTGCAAAAAAAGCAGCCTAATTTTCCAGTACAGGGTGCTTTTCCCAGTACAGCTTTCTCTTTGTCTTGAGTAAGCAGAGTGCAGACTCTTACAGTAGCTAACTTACATTAATTTATACAGGCATACTGACTGACTCCTGGATCTGGTCCATTTATGGCACCTCTGAATTCAGCCCACAGTGCATAATCAGGAAAAGGGCATAGGGCTAACTTCTGTTCTCATTTCACCAGTCTATTTCAGTTTGATGTTTTAAAATGCTGATGGATCTAACTAATATCTTCAATGACAAGTTACAGAATAAATTGCATCTAAGAAAATGCGTCAGCCTAAGCACATGAGACATTTACATTTAGGCAAACATAACACTAGCAAAATACAGAAAGAGACTGGACAAGGATGAAGCAGATGACCTAATAGCAGTTTTCCATTTCTGACACCCCAGGTTACTTTAGGGCCAAGATCTACTTCACTTGCTTTTCAGGGAAACCTACCATAGAGTTCAGCTAGAATTTTTCCTAGGTTTGGACCTGAGAATTTGACTCTGAAGAGATGAAATTCAGTGCCATTCCTCCCTGTGTTGATCACTCCCTTTTCACATTAATGTCTTAGTATTCCTGTACCCTCTTTATTGCAGAAATAGTTTGGTAGCTTGAATGGTTTACCTGTTGCTATGGGGAATTCAAAGCATAACATGTGCTATCGTCCCTAATATCTCAGTTAAAACTCTGAATTTTCTGTCCATCATCCACTGGTCGTTTTGGCAGTCTCTTATGCTGTGTGGGTTTGATTCGTGATCGGCCATTCTTATCTCAAGTCATTTTAAAATTAGGCTTCCAAGGTTTCAGCATTTACAGGAAAGTTTCTAATTGTAGTTATTGGGTCTTATTCCAATTCTCCTTGTCCTCAGTAGAACAGTGAACATGATTAATACAATAGTCTTGCCAATAAACACATGCACATTGCCCAGTGGTTTGACATCCCTTTCTTATATTTCAGAGGAGACGATCATTTTGAAGGGTGGGTACATGTAAACTGTGGTTCCAGCATTTGACTCAAAAAGTAACCCTGGAAATGAATAATAGCCCCTCTGAAGTTTCAAGCTTTTGCTTACTTGTACACCAGTAGACTGAACAGCAGCTGTTGAATAATTTTAATCAGATAGTCCTTCATTTTTAACCATCATTAGCAAGCCATAGAAACAGTAGGAAAGTACTCTGTCCAGCCATCCTGTTAATAAATTTATTTTGGTGTGGTTAAATTGTTTAATGCTTGACATCTACTTCATTTTCCCCTTTTTTGACTTTTACATCAAATGGAATGGTGGCTGGTCCATTTGACATTTTAGAGACAAAGCCCATAGACATTATGTTTGATGTGATGATTTAGTTGGGGATGGCCCTGCTTTGAGCATGGGTTTGGATTAGATGACCTCCTGAGGTCCCTCATTTTCTATGATTCTATGTCTAAAATGCTGAGATTCAGTATATTCTAGTTTTATTCCCTGATTTACATGTTGACTCACTGTGCATCCTTGGGAAGCTACTTAATTTCTTTAAATCTCTGATTATTTATCTGGAAAAGAAGAGAAATAAATCATTGCTTACTTGCCCTTTCTTAAGGATGTTGTGAGGTTTAATTTATGTTAGTGGAGTGCTTTGAGATCCTTAGATGAAAGTGTAAAGTATTGTTACCATTCTAAAGTTTATGACCAAAATCCAGTCTTTTTTACTAAAAAGCTTAATTCTTTTCTTGCACAGATGTGAACATGGACTAAATCAGTAGTGTTACACCTCTATAAAAATGTTGAAAATGAGAAAAAAAATAAGGTGCAACACACTGAAAAATAAGACCACTATGATCCTTGGAATTTGATATTAATATAATGTTAAAGATGAAGATATTTGACAGGTGTATAGAAGATCAAACTTCTCTCATTTTCCATGAACTAATCAGAGACTTCCTCAGAAACTCCAGGATCAAATAACAGTTGCATCTACTTTCAATTACCTGATTTAATTTTTCAGAAATTAAGAACAGAAGCTGCTTTTTCAAATTCACAACATGTCATGTATTTAGAAAATGTCAAAATAGGGTTCTGTCATTCATAGTATTCTGTGTATCTCTAGAAGTCTTTTTATAATAGATTTGTACAATATTTTTGTACGGAAAGGTATTTCCTATGGAGCACCAAGGAAGTCTGGATATTTCCTAGATTAGACTATTTAAAATGGATATCTGCCTGATCTGAAATCATATACTGTAGATACAACCCTTCACCATTTTCCTTTTCATTCATTATTTATTTAAATAGTTATTGAAAATATAAATATTTCATAAGTTTAATTTTTTAAACATATTGCCTATGGTCCCTAACTTCATCTCCACTGTATACCCTTTTCCTCTATAGCTGGCAATATCTAATTTTGTACTTACGAAAGAAAATAACTTGTTCTGTTAACACTCCTGTTTATTTTTAATAAAATATTAACAGCTAGAACACACTGGACCAAATTTATCTCTGATACAACTCCATTAAATTTAGTGGAGTTATATCAGTGATTTATTTTCTTCCACTATATTTTTTTCTGTTTTATTCCTCTCTTTCATGAATCAAATGTGTCATAAATGCACAGTAGGCGTTAAAAAAAACAACCTGGCTATGTCAGGGCATTCTGTTATCCACTAGCCCAGCCTTAACAAAGTAGTATACGGGGATTATAATACTGTTGGATGATCATGAGAAGTCTCCTTTTCATCTGATTTATTATTTTAGTTTGTCTGATTTTTAAATGGATTTACTGAGCATATTCCATAATTCTAAAACATTTCTTCTCTACAATTAAGGAGCGTGAAATGTAGTGCTTGCATAGAATTTGTGCTATTGATGTCATAACACCAACTGCTTCTTTTCTAAAGCTGGTAATCACAAATTTCTTTTAAATGATTTGTCCTGGCACTTACAAAACCCTTTTTTCTGTACAACTAAGGGCCCTCAACATATATTGTATCTACTACTGTGGCCTGGTGTCTAACAGGCCTCTAACTTGGCCAGATCCGGCCTATGTAATGCTGTTTGTAATGAGAAATCTAAACAGGGAATGGCAGTGAGGCATGAAAGGAATGTGTTTCCATTGGAGAAGTCAGTGTAGAGAAAAATTATAAGCAAAGCCATGTCCAGAAGGTCTTTTCAGCTGGCCAAGACGGAAGACTAATGTTATTGTACATTGGCTGTCACCCTGCCAGCCCTCCCTCACTGATTTGTTTTCTCTTATAGTCTCTTTTTCTTTTTCTTTTTTTTTTTCTTTCTCTCCTGACTGTTTGCTCAGGTGGACAGTGACACCATTTGGAATGAGCTGCATTCGTCCGGCGCTGCACGCATGGCTGTTGGCTGTGTCATCGAACTGGCTTCCAAAGTGGCCTCAGGAGAGCTGAAGGTGAGGTCTGGGTTGCGTTGTGTGTGGGAAAACTGGGGAAGAAGCTGAAAGAGAGATGTTATTATTATGGAGTTGTAAGGAAGGTGGAGGGGAGAGAGTGGGAAAGATGGTCACTAAGGTGTGGTAATCTAAGTAGCTCTGCAAGGTAGTTGGCAGATTTTATTACTCAAAGCCTTCAGTTCAAAAGGGAAAATTATGTTGTCAGTAGACTATAGTATTTTTTTTTAGAGCACAAAGGTGATTCGGTCCAAGTTAAAATTACTCATAGTATGTACTTATCTGGCATGCAGTTCTGGACTTCCCTTTTGAGGTGATATTTTAAGATGATTATTGAGTAGAATCTATAACCTCAGAATACCACCCAAAGAGAGGAAAGGTAAATAGTGGATTTGCAGGTTATGGAGGAAGAGGAAAATTGTTGATTGGGAGAGTAATGATCCAGAGTATGCCTTTCCCTGAAACAACTTCAAACTGACTACGCTTCATTGTTCTTCTTCTCTTGCTTTTTTGTTTTCCTTTTACATGATCTGCAAAGAATGATGTACCAAACCCAACTTACCCACAGTCTAAACAGTTTATAAAAGCCCTGGACCTGACAGACTTTGACATTTTATTTGGTATTTAACAATCCTATTTAAAGGTACACAATATGCAGCTTGAATGCAGACTTTCCGCAGTAAACATTGTTGGAGCTAATACAACTACTTAATGTAACCGTTTATACACTTTCTAGTCCAGATATGAATGAATTTAATTCCATCACCAAATGTGAGGTAGGAGATAAATATTTAGGGCCAACAATATGTGGTGAGGTTTTTTTATAACAGTTTTACTATAATTGGTGTACCTCAGATAACCTAGAATACAATATTCTAGGCTATTCAGGTGAAGTATTATATCCCCAAATCCAGTTTTCAAATGTGGATAGCGACGTTTCACATTTAAGTGCTTAAATCACTATTTAGTCACTAAAATCAATATTTGTATGTTCATGTTGTGATTTGAGACCCCAAATGTAGAATTGGGCACCCTCACAAAGAGCTGTATTGTGGAGCCCTTATTCAGCTTCGTGAATAGTGTCTTTGACTACAGGTTAGGCTTTCATATACAGTAGTACTCTGTACAGTTTAAAGTGCAATATTCCAGGCCCTTGGGACTACTGGAAGATTTCAGCAACTTAAAGCAAATTTATACCTGTCACAATTGTTGGACACCCAGCAGTATTTAACAGAATTTAAAATCAGGCTTAGATAAGAAGAATCAGATATTCTTTATGTGCAGTTGACATGACCAGGATCTCTTGTAAGACCTTTATTGCTTATCTCTATGGATTTATGGTGTCTTTCACACTGTGTGATAACTCCTGGTTGTTTATCTCTATGTGATGAATGACTGCAAAAAATAAGACATGAGCCACTATAAGGCCCTAGTTGCTACTGAAGTAGCAACTATCTGAAGACAAATATTTTAAATGCAATAGTAACCAGCAGTTTCCTTAAAACAAGGATTTTAGAGATGCTAAATTAAATCTGTCTCAAATTGAGCCATTCAAAATTTTGTCACGCAACACTTGTAAGAGACAGAAATGTTGTTTATAGTGACTCACAAAGCTGTTAATATACATCGGACCTCATTCTTTGCTAGTGGAAGTGGATAGATGAAGCAGTTATTTCAGTGACAGTATGCTGATTTACCAGCTGAGAATCTGCCCAAACTATTTACAATTTACGATGAAAGGTGTTTATGAAAAGGTTACTAAGGCCTTATTTACATTAGAAACATTTATGAGCAAAAGTTCTGCTGATATTTTGCTACCAACGTAGCTATTTTGACAGTGTGCAGTTACATTTGGCTGTCTCAGGAGGTGTGGCAAACAGTAACAGCATCAGATTATATCAGCCAAAGGCATCACACTGTAGGTCTGTCTTGTGCAACAAGGCAGTGTCATGCTAAGCCCTTCCTGAGACTACTTGTGTGCTAGCCCCCAAAACAGAAGTAGTGTGAGGGTTCTGCAAATGCAGTAATAAACTCTGTCTCAGTGAAGTCAATTGGCAAGCATGAAGAAATGCACCAACACAGGAACAGTTTAGGAGCCACCACTTACGCAGCATGCCTGGCATCAGATGAGGATGAAGGCAGGGTAGACTTGTACCTTATAGACTAACCAAATTAGGCGTTATAGCATAAACTTTCATGAGCTGGAGCTCACTTTATCAGATGCTATGAAAGGACATGCACAGAGCAATGTATAAAATGGAGAGAGTGATTTGAATACAAAAGGTAAGAAGGGAAATGGAGAAGAGAGTGGGAAGAGGGGAGAGGAAAAGGGAGGGGTACAGTACGGGGAGAAGCAAACAAGCAAAGAACCCATAGGAACAAAGGGGTCACCAAAGCCGATCCAGGTAATGGGATCAGAAGCCATAGGTTTACACCATACTTAACCCAATCCACTCTGTGGATGATTTCTTGTTTCATAATTTCCTGTTCAAATAAATTTTTAAAAGCTTAATGCCTAAGAACAGCTATGCTGAGGTCAGCAATGGAGAGTCCAGGGGTGGTAAAGTGTTCTGCAGCAGGCTTTTGTGTCTATCTGGAGCTTATTATGTCAGGTCTGTGTTCATTCATTTTTTCATGTAGCGATTGCCCTGTCTGTCCAATGTAGACATCAGAGGAGCTCTATAAATAGGTGATGGCATATATGATGTTGGTAGAGTTGCAGGGGAATGAACCTTGGATGTTATAATTTGCGTTATTCAATCCAGTGAGGATGTGGTCTGTATTGAGGAGGGGGCACAACAGGCATCTGTGTCCACTGCAAAGCCTGGTACCTTGGTGAAAAAGGAAGTGAGGTAGGCTGTTGCTTGAGAGATGCTGTTTGAGGTTGGAAGGCTGACTGTAAGCTAAGACAGGTTTGTCCCCACAGGAAGGACTGGATCATGAATGGCCATTAATGATGCGTCTAAGCTAAGCTATCCAAGCTGTTAGCCCCGAGTGACAATCAGAGGGATTTTGTTGTCCCTATCCTAAGATTGGTATTGTATCAGGTGGATACAACATCTGCCTGGCTTTGTTGGTTTGAGTGGCTATAGTTTGGGAATTGTATTTTAAGTGTAAGAATGCTTGCTTTCATACTATAAAGATGCTATCCCTGTTAGTGAGATCAGAGCATATATGGTTGTAACAAAGAGCTTAGCTGTAGACCATGGATGTAGTGGTTTGCTTAGGATAAAAGATGATGGGGTGAAGGTAGTTGTCATGGTTGGTTGATTTCCAATATGATGTAGGAGTGATCTGGCTATTGTAAACCTTCAGTGTAACGTCTAAGAAATGAATTTGCTGGGTAGAGTATTCCAGAGTTGGAATATATATAAAGGGGTGGAAGTTGCTGAAGTCCTAGTGAAGTTTCTGTAAAGAAATCAGGTTATTTCTCTCGCTGGTGATCAGATGATGATGTCTTGTGTCTTATACACCTCTTTTCAGTGTCCCCTCTACCAACATCTACTGTAAATATCTCAAACCTATTATCAGGGTGGAAAAGACATTGCCTTTGTGCCACCATAAAAATTTGTATTGTGGCACAAAGGCAAAATAAACAAATGTTCATACTCTTTGTCATGCCACAAAGCCTACAATTTGAGGCTGCAACAAAGATGGTAATAGTTTCTGCCACTTAATTGCAGCAAATGTCTGTTTGCTCTATGCCAACAGAGTACGGGCAACCTGGAGCTGCCTGCACTCTTCAGTCTCCTTGGGCAGGTGCTCCCAAACCTGCACACCTAAGGAATTTTTGTACAGGATCCCCCTCAGGCCCCTGGAGTGCCTGCCCAGCATTTCCCACTTAGAGAGGCATGCTCCAGACAGTCTCTAGGGCACACCCCGACTTACCTTGCTTACAGAGGTGCACCTCACAGATTCCCCAGGTCATGTCTCTGTAAGTGGGGAAAGCCTGGGCTCCCGGCTTAGAGGCACACCATGGTGACTGCCTGGGGCATGCGTCTGCAAGAGGGAAACCCTGGCTTTCCCCTCCTACAGAGACATTTCAAGAATCTCTGAGGTGCACCTCTGTAAGCAGGGAACACATCATCCATTTTCCCATGGGATTGGGCCTCTGACTGATGAGAGACAACAGGCAGATCAGCTGTAGTAGGACACATCCTGCCACAGCTGGTCCACTTCATTTCATCTGTGACATCTGTTTATATCCTCAGTTTGTGTGATACATTAGTAGTTTCATTAGAGATCAAAGACTAAATGAGCAAAGAGACTGAAGAGTCCCCTCTCAGAAATTGTCTTTACAGACTGGATCTGAGTCAATATGGGGTAGGAGAAGTTAGTACATCAGAAAACGAGCTATTGGACACTGGGATGTCTTTAATCGGACACTGAGCACACTGACAAAGATGCATATATTTACAAAAATACATGAAATATTTCAGTGTGAATGGTGGATGCTTAATATGAAACATACAAATATTTCATGCAACTTACATTGATACAATTATGTGTAAAAATAATTTAAACACTCACTTTAGTTCATACTAGGAAAGTCAAGTTTTATAAAGTCTTTCATGTTGTAAGACATACTATTCAGGTAAGAAAAAATAAAATATTGACACCACTGGAAAAAAAAGTGTCTTTAACCATAGAATAACTACTGTATAGGCAATAACAAATACAAGCTGCCACATATTGTCTCAGATATGTCTCATTTCTGGGAATGAGAAGACTTTTCATTTTCCTTGATCATTCACTCCTAGGTCTCTGCTTGAGACTGCTAAGGTACTGTACAGACTGATGATAATAGTTTTGGGATATAGATACCTACCCAGTGTGATACCACACAATCAATTCAGAAATATCAAAAAACAACAACAAGGTAGGCCAAATACAAACCAGTGCCCAAGAAGCGAAAGGTAGATACAACATACAAACACTGACCTACTTTCAAAAGTGATATTATATGTAATGAATGGAAACACCCAATACTCAGCTTCAATTCA